TACTATGGAATATTGTTCCCGAATAAATACGTTTCGTATAAATTTTACCTGATATTACATGTTCCATAATGGAATCACCGTTCGCATTCATGCCACAATAAGCATATACATTATCGACAAATAATCCTTTGTCTACAAGTGTAGCTTTATTATTCGTTTTATGTGCATGCGTCGGTAATAATGTCTTATGAGCAAATAAATTGTTACAAAATTGAGCGCATTCTTTCGATTTCGTTACTTGTTTTGTTTTACTAACGTATGCTAAGCGTTTTAATTTCTTAATGCATATTTGTTTCTTTTCTCCTTTAGGTCCATTAATATCCCATTTAAAAGAATATATTTCGCTTTCGTAGGGAAATTGCAAAAGGTCGTATTTCATCAGTTCCATTTCCGAAATTTTATTTTGTAAAAGAGTAAAAACACTTCATATTAAAAGCATATATAATTCTAACAAATGTGCATTAAGGATTCCTTTTAAACATGGAAAACTATAATACAAGAGCCACGATCTCCACTCTGTACCTTTCCATTTATTTTTGTCCTGTAATATGCCTGGAAGTCGATGAATTTCATTAGGTAGCTTAATGAGTATTAATCGATTATCAATGTTTTTCCTGTCCGATTTGTTAAACTATTTCTGGAACAGGGTTTTACAAATTCTTCCTATAACTGTTTAGTTACCCCCGCTAAAATACCGTGCAAATACTCAATAGGGAATCCCTATACTATATCAAAAGTAGGTAGTTTACTTAAAACTGATGCACTTTTAACACCTCGAATTATCAGTTTTTTTTACATTTTGATGGATTTACTGAAAGCACCTCTTGTACGTTATTTAAGTGACTAACATGGGATCTAATGTTACGTTCATTTTCAGTGATGGAATATCGCATCGATCCATTTATATATTTACCGTGTACATAACACCAACTGCAATCATCATAACCGTTAAATTGAATTCTATTTTGCAATAATGGTCTTGCGACGGAATCAACGCTACTACAAAGGGGAAGTAAAATAATTTTTATATCTTTGCCTTCATATGCAATAATGATATCATTTTCGTTTATTTTTGTAATTTGATTCACGAAACTTTTCATATATAAATTCATAAAATCCGAGTTCGGTTCTTTCATGGTGATGCACATAGCTGGTAAAATTAATTTTTTAAACCGATCTTTGAAAGGCAATTTGTTAATACACATTTGTATTGGCCAGAAACTTTTTTTCGAACTTTGGAAAATAGGCGCTCCATCAGTATTAAAATTGCATGTTATAATGATAATGTCTCGATTTTTGTAATTCTGCAGTGCTTTCTGATATAAAAAGCCATCATATACATCTTCGATATAATGATCAAGTTTGTTATTGAGTCTATGCTTAATACTATGTACATTTTTTATTAAAGCATTAAGGTGTCTTTATTTTGTAATATAAGTCGAATTTGGTACTCAATATCTATAGAAATGAAATAATTTGACGATGACATTGATAAAAGATATTTTCTTTGGCATTTTTCACAGGTTTGAGGTCTTTTTAATGAAATTTTGCGTTTTTGTAAGGGTTTCGACAAAGGAACATTACATACGTCACAGTAGAAAACATAGGCTAGTTTGTTTGCAGGAGGATCATAAAGTTTCGAAATTTCATAAGCACTTATATTGATGTATTATTATGATGCATTATAATGATGTGTCAAATTCATTCCGATTTTCAATGAAACTAAAACTACACAATGATATTATTTCGGAATTGATGTGTGATATACGTGAGGTGCGTTCCAAGTCCTTATTACACATAAAGAATTCACGAAAGCGACCATTAATTTGACGATTTGAATGAGAAGTGTTATTTTATAGCCCGCGTTCGTTTCCCATAAATCGCTTTGCAGCCGCGGAATTCGCGCAATCCTCTCCATCCCATTCATTGGTCCGCCATTGCGACATTATTTTCTACATACTGATCTCAAAAAAGATTTTACAGTTATCCGATTTAAACCGGAAAGTTGATTTAAATTTAAAAATTTTGAAACATAATCCGTAATAATTATAAATTTCTAATTTTAATTGTAATAACGCGTCAATTTAATTCCTTATATTAATGAATTCTGTTAATGTAATTAATTTTCTGTTACATTAAAATTTCATTATTTTATTATCCTATTTTAATTATGAGTAAAATTATGATACAAAAAATTCTATGTGTTGCATTCAAATGGATATTAGCTGCATCTGCAGATCGTAAATCGGTAGCTGAAGGACTTACAATGTGAATACGTGACCCCGAGGACAATTGAAAAAGCTGCATTAAACATGGCGGTAGATGATTTATTAGGGCGATTATTTCAAGAGCGATTCCCGCATGTTATCGCTTCCTTCTATCCCTTTTTCTCCGTTACGTACTAAATTCTATTTCGATACTGAATGGCAAAAGCCTACCGCGTAGTATGAAGTTCTTTCACGAGTAATTCAGAACGCATCCAAAATTATTGCTTTAGAAATACGAATTAAAAATTAGGCAAATACAAATTATTTTTCAATAAAAACAAGTTTTCAAAAAATAAAATCTAAATAAAGATTTTATTGTAAATAATTGTATCATTTACTACCTACTAATTACATTCGTATACAAGTTTAAAAATTTAAAAATATTAGTTTTTAAAAAACAATAAAGAGCATACAGCCACAACGCTTGATGTAGGGTAAAATCAGAGATTATGGAATAGCTTTTTTTAAATTAATATTGCTCTGATATATAAAGGCATATGAAGACTTCAAATTTACACAGAACTCTTGAGGAATATGTTAGCTACAACATCCAATAAATGAAAGTCGTCAAAATTAAAGTCCAACGTCAATATTTACAAAAAAGTCAAAAGCGAGAAAATGGGGGGGGGGGG